CTTCGATGTGCGGGTGGTGTAATGTATAATGGCTTGGAATTTTTAATCGGGGAGTCAACTTTCAATTTTAGTTGTGTTTGTTATATTCACTTACGCGCAAATACTCTTGTGAAACGTACGAATCCACGTCTTCTCTCTCAGCTATGGGTTAATTAGTAAGATTTGCATCACTAAAGAATTATTATTATTCAAAAAAATATTCTCAGAATCTAATAATATTTGTGGCTTTAAATAACCTGTAAAAGATTGATAAGCCGTAAAAACGAACCAATAAATCATTTTTTCTTGTTCACGTGACATTTAAATGTTATCGTGTCGTTTTTTTTGACGAAGTATATTTAGTATGCTTGTTCTTAGATTTAATATTTTATTTATGTTGAATTATATACCTGTAAGTGTGCGTGTATGTATGTCAGTCGTTACAGTGTAGTGTATTCACTATATGTGTGCGTGTATCTCGACGTCTACGTGCGTATATGTATGTGTGTCTGTTTGTGTACGTTCCCTAACTTGCCGTCCTCGATTTCCTGCCAAGGTCTCAGAGGGTCCAGTCGGCATCGAAATTAGCAGTTAGCGTCGGACTGTAAATGGATCTGTAATTAAACACCCGAGTCGTGACAATCCGAGCCAGAAATTCACCACCCGGTCGTGAAGGTTGGGGGTGGGTGGACGGATGAGTTGGGGGTAGAACAGCACCAGAAATTGCTCAAGTTGGGGTGCAGTAAAGAAAGACCGACTGATAGGCAAAAAATGAATCCGACTCCGCCACAATTACAAGGAGAGCTGAGGTACATAAATCAATTTCCTTATAAAACTAACACGGGTTACTTACAAAGGTGTCCAAAATGAAAAGTGAAGCTGGGATAGAGGTGATAAGTAGGTAGGTAATAAGTCAAAATACTCGTGTATAAGTCTACCCCTAAAATTCTCATGTGTTAATTCAGGTTTAGGGTTGTTTTAAAACACGATAAGCGCAGATTACTCTGAAAGAGGACAATACTCCTTTTCATAAGACAGTAGGATTTAGGGGGTCAAAATAGAATGATACGACTCATTAGAGGCGCAATTTTCTTTGCTTTTTTATGCTAAAAAATTGACTATTATGACGACAAGTACGGTAAATAAACATTAGCATGACATAAGGCGGGAGAAAAACCTGTCAAATAAAGATTTAGTTTAATGTCCAGAAAAGAGACTCTAACATATATATATATATTCGTAGATAGAGACACATATAGATTTCGAAAAATGGGCACTCCTTAAATAGGTAATTTAAAACTGGTTCTATCAATGTGTCCTCCTTGGCCAAATATGGTCTATAGAAATGGTTTCTCTAATGGAAAAGGAGAAACAGGTTCAATATCTGTCGGAAGGTCAATTTTTCTCTGGTAGGACCTCTCAAGCTCTGTTATTAATTTCACTGTTTAAGAAAGAAAAAAACAAAGCCCTAAAAATAACGTTTAGAATAGGTATCTTTACAGATTCGCTAAAAAATGAACATACCATGATGAAAAAAAAATGCCCTAAACGTAATAAATAAGTTTTATCGTCAAAATCTTTATATTATTAAATGGAAGGGCCAAAGGAGTTTTCGATTATTAAACTATATTGTTGATCCTTTTTAGAACGTTCGAAGGTCGGGGGGGACCAAAAATTAGTATAGGATGTTTCAGCGTCTTTTCTGTGGTGAAAAACAAATTGGTAAAGATATTTTTTTTTATCATTTGCCCCCCCCCCCACCACCACCACGATTTATTTAATTTTATGAAATTTCAAGAAATTAATTTTTGTACAACTTAAAGTACAGTTATAGGACGAGCCTCGCGAAACGGAGTGGCTCTTGCAGTGTGTCTCACTGGCGATGGTTCAAAAGTGGTACAAAAATTAATTTCTTGAAATTTCATGAAATTAAATAAATGGTGGGGGGACAAATGATAAAAAAAATATTAAAAATAAAATTTATTGAAACAAAACAAGTTCAGTTGACCACTGATGACAATTCCAGAACAACGTAACAATAAACAATTTTTTCTAACCTCTGCCAGCCGCAATGATGGAGAAAGCGTTACCTCGAAGTTGTTTCAATAAATTTTAATCTTCTCGTTATAGGCATAACTTATCGGAGAATGTAAATCAACAAGTTTTATTTTTTTGCAAAATAAGACATATATAAATATTTTCATAAATAAGAAATTTGCTTATTGGAAATATTATATTTAATCAAATTAGCTTGAAATTAAAATAAAAGCTCCAAGAAAGATTTTTCATTTACAAGAATTCATTTTAACCTTTAGGTATCGCGTTTTTTTGGAAGTACCTAGTTTAGAATAATAAGAAATAATGTTGAATAAAAAAAAACATTAAAAAATTCCTCTTGTTTACGTTTCGTGTACGAAACTGAAGCTAGCAGATATAGATTCATAGAAGACTGAACGAGAAATGTGCATTCTTTAAATAGGTAATTCAAACATCACCCGACTCGATCCAGGGTCTTCCCCATGCTGGTCAGTAGTGGCGCCTTTCAACTGATGCTTATCTGTTGACTGCTTCGTTTCTTCGTCTGCTCTGTCCCACGTTGTGTACTTTGATCAAAGTGTTTTGCGGATCGAACTTTCGACCGCACTTTGGCGCTGAATCGAGTTGGCGATGAAAACAAATATCATAAATCACGAAGGAAGTCGCTGGTTTAATTTTCAATTGGTTTTATATAAGTGCTGATACACAAAATTAACCCTCCCTGTGGAATCTAGTGACAAAGAATCTTCTGTTCTACACTTGGAGCGGGCTAGCCAACGCGGAATTATGTCGGTCAGGAATTTCAGGCGGTCGGGTCACGTGGGTTTAAGAACTCTCCTCGACCATTGCTGATCAAGTCGCAGCTCCAGCTTCTTTCTTTCTCCAAACAATAATTGTTGTCAATAAATTTATTTCAACTCAGCTATTTTTTCTGGTTGTTGATGGACCAAATCCTGGCCTCGGCAAATTCTTTTGTCTATTTTCAAAACACACACCAATTTATTTACATTTCCAACATGACCCAAATATTGCCTGCGAAAATCGGCTGTTTTTACATTCCAATCTGGTTTAAATAATTTTTCCTGTCCAAGAAAATCATGTTGTTAATTATTTTACCGAACTCATATCGCAACATTTTTATATCAGTGACTTCAACATTGCAGCCCTTCCAATGCTCCAATTCTATTCAGGGTTTTCACATGAATCCTTTTCTTAATCCTGTGTCACATTCCTTTCAACTACTACCAGTGACACTTAAATAGCGTCAGATATCGACGTAGCTCCAGTGGCCAAATTGGTAAAGGAACGTTTCGGATATAGAAGCAGTTTTCCTCGTGGAAAAGAGGATACAGGCTCGATTTCTGTTGGAAGCACAATCAGGACTTTTCAGTCTAGACCAGTTGTCATTATTTTCACCGTTTAAGAAAAAAATTCAGGGATAGCAACTCAGATACGTATACACATAAAAATAACGTTTATTTTATATTAATAAAATGTAATAAAAATATAAATGATATCAGAAAAAATGTTACTGGACTTGAGAAACTTATTTTCCTGAAAAAATGTTTTAATAGATTTTATGAAATTTCAACTGAAAGTAGCACTAGCTGCTCGGTTAATGAATGCTGAATGTTTCTTATATAAGGAAACTGCTGATGTTACCATTACTAACATTGTGAATTTATGACGTCTTCCGCTAATTTTTTTCTTACAACTGTTCGGACGAGAAAAAATCTGTTTTGCTTTTGGTCTAAGCCTGCTTCAAAGTGAAATTCCAAGAAATCATTTATTTTTTTCTTTACAAAACTTTTTTGTGAACAAGGGATACAGTCTTTTGTGTTATGTATTTTAAATCTGAAGAAGGCTGTAGAATGGATCAGCCGAAATGCTACGATAGCAAATAAATAGATAAAATAAATTCAATAGTTCGAACAATTCATGGACTCTTCTCATAATTATAGACAGTTTTTCTATATACTGTGAGAATATATATATATATATATATATATATATATATAATGACGGACTCTCTCATCGAGTTCGATGTATGAGGTTCTGACGACCACGAACTAATTATCTGCATGCTTATGACGGGCATGCCTTTTGAGACCGGCTCAAAAATTGGGCCAAAAACCACAAACAATGCAGGAGAATGTATTGTATGTATGATTGAATAAATTAATGACATTATGTCTGGTAATTTTTAATAAAATCCGTTCATACTCACGAATAACCTTTCGTGTATTGATCTTAAAGGATGAGAGAAATGTGCTATAGCTGTTTAAATTTCTTTTATTTTCATTTCCCAAGTACTTTCGTTCTTCTGCCAAGATCATCTTCAGGAATGCAAGTGGTATAAAACTATATGCTGTTCATTAGTATAAGTATTTATACAAAGATGTGCGTTGTTATTGATTACTGTAATTTTTTCATTATGCTTTTAAATGCAAAATGGTTGACAATATGCTGAGCGTTCATTAGAACGTGAAAAGATTATCCATTATGAATTTTTCCCTCTATTTTATAATGTCATGGTCACGCGCGCATTAAAGCATGAAAAAACTGTTCCTTTACAGGCATTTCAGAACATTACTGTAGTATTCATAGTTCATTCTATTCAGTGCCAGCTTTAAATTTTTTTAATATAAATTGCTTCTAGTATCTGTAATCTAAATTTGTTGTTTTCATGGTGTAGGATAGTTTTGTTTTCGATTAGCATTTTTTTATATTGTGAATGTGGACAGGAATGTTGTTGTAGATGTCTCGCAATGGACGAATGGTCAGACATATGGAGTGTAAGCCTTCTTGTGAGTATATTTGTCGCATACCCAATATATATATTTGTTTCTTGTCGGATATACATTCTCCTAAGGGACATTTAAATTGGTATATAATGTTGGTTTTACGTAATACATCATTTAGTGGTGAGGAGTTATTACGGATAATTAAATTGGTTGTATTGTATATAATCAACATTATCATTT